GGCTGCTTGCCCGGGGAGCTGCTGGCCGGCCCAGTGCTGTCCGGCTGGAAGGCTGCTCTGCGGAGGTGCTGGCAGAGGCGCTGCCCGGTCTGGGCGAGCTGGGCCGGCTGCCTCGCGAGCAGCCCTTCCCAGAGGCGAGGGCACAGCATCTGCTGCCAGAGCCGTGAGTTCCGGGGGAGGACGGGGTGCTCGCTGTCCAGAGGGAGGGATGAGGAAGAGCCCTGTTGGAAACGTAAGGGAACTTGCCTATGTGAGATGCACACGTGGAAGTGGAAAGAAAAAAAACAGTTAATCTGAAGAAGATGATGCGTTGTTTCACACTTTGCGCTTTTTCTTCAACAGCTTGCTGCTGTCTTTCACGAGTTTATTCAATTTTCACAATTAAATACCCTTTTGGGGCAGCAGACTGATCCATAACCCACTGCACATAAGTAGCGCTGTGCCGCACGCGCTTCTGCTGGGGTGTATCTGAGGAAAGAACACGTTACTCATAGAAACAGGAGCGCAGAAAATGTCCGTGGTTGTAGACGTGACCTTGCGTTGCCGTGGTAAAAGCCGGCTCAAGCTGTCCGGTGATTTCCCTGCCGCCGTGTGTCCATCCATGCTGGCCATGCTGTGAATGCGCGGGTGGTGGCACGGCTCTGGGAGTAGAGTTCGCATCACCCGCAGCAGCGCGCGTCGCAGAGCTCCTGCTCCTGCCGGGATGAGCCTGCTGGAATTTTTCTTGCTTGTTTGTTTCGCTTCCAGGTTTGTACAAGAAGTCTGGAAAACTTGTCTTCCTGGGCTTGGATAACGCAGGCAAAACTACTCTGCTGCACATGCTGAAGGACGACAGGCTGGGCCAGCACGTCCCGACACTACATCCCAGTAAGTCTGCCAGCGACGGAGCCCCGCCTGCCTTGGGGGTGCTCTTTCCTCCTTAGTTTTGGGGACACGGTGTTGAAAGGTGCCTCGGTGATAGCTCTGCATTCGGGCAACAGACTGCAAGAGTCTTCAGACTGCCCCTGGGGCTGCAGGTGGACTTTGGTTGCCCAGGCTGAAGTGAATTTGCGTTTTCCACTGAAGTATAAAACGGAGAGCCCGAGAATTGGTGTGGTTCAGCTAACGCGAGGTGCCTCTCTTCGGGAGGGAGTGGGTTTCTAATGAAAAGTGTCATAAAGTATAATAATTGCAGATTAATTCAGCATGTGCTTAAGTGGGGAGGTAGAAGAAATTGTTTTCTCTCACTTGTGATTTTGTGAAACGACTCCATTTTGGTGACTGAGTTCTACAGGAAGCTCAGGGAATTCCTGAATTCTACGGGATATCTTGTATGAGGAGCCTGGTGATGTTAACTCGAGTCCCCAAGAAATTCCATCCTGGACAGCTTCTTTATTTTCCTGAAACAAAGCCTGTATTTTTGCTTTTCAGCATCAGAGGAGCTGACGATTGCTGGAATGACTTTCACGACTTTCGATCTGGGTGGACATGAACAAGGTAACTGAAGTTGTTGAGCAGGAGGCGCTGAGTGAGGTCAGCCTTCTGATTTCCGCGATGTTCTCCAGCCGCCTTAAGAAAAATCTACCAAAAAGTGATACTGATAGCAATTCGCAGTGCCTGATTATTTGTTGCCTTATGGTCGTGGCAACGACCTCCTGGCTCTAGCATACCAGTGGTTCGATACTTCTGCCCAATCCTGGCATTTTGAAAAAAAAAAAATGCTACCGGTTCATGCTCTGCTGCCTGAAATATCTTTAGCCATGGAAGGCTTGAATGTCACAGGCTTCTCATTCTTGTGAATAATTGCTGCTGAATTTTTTAGACTTTCTAGAAGTTCTAAGAGAAGTTTTTCTGCCTTTTTTTGTTGTTGTTTTTAAATACACGAAAATATTGGAAGAAAGACACTGCGGCTAAAAATCAGCCTTGGCTGCCGAGGCTCGCTTCTGAAAGGAGAGGAGCTGGCTCTCCGAACTGCCTGGCTTGCGGCCTTGGCCAGTCCCTCCCCAGAAGGTCTTCACTGCCTCAAGGGGATCGTAATGGGGAGGGGGCTCCCGCTTTTGGGTGTAGTTTTCCTGTCGCTGCAGGTCCCGTTTTGATGGGGCGGTGTTGGTCGCTTCTGTGTTCCAGCTCGCCGGGTCTGGAAGAACTACCTGCCGGCCATCAACGGCATCGTCTTCCTGGTGGACTGCGCAGATCACTCGCGTCTCATGGAATCCAAAGTTGAGCTCAATGTAAATATACCTTTTTTTTTTTTTTCCCTTTCCTGGGACCTTGGAATAGCTAAATTATAAATAATGTTCTTCTTTTTTCATCTGGAACTTGTGCACGGCGCGTTTTGAGAGTCTGGTGCTCTGGATTTGCATTTCCAGTGCACCTTTTGTGCCAGCGGTGCAGTGTCCAAAGCGTGTGCTTCTAGGAATTTGCACGTTGCTTTATGCGGGGAGCGGATCGGTATGGGTTTGCAAGCGTGCTCTCCCAGAGCTGGGGAAGCCTGGATGCCCTTACTGTGGGTCGACGGTGGGCTCCTGAGCAGCCTTTGAAGAATTTTTGAAGTAGGCGGTGGCTTTAGATGGGAGCTGCTTCTGAGAAACCTTTCCAGAGAGACTCCTCTTCTGCGGGAATACTGGGCCGTGCACCAAGAAACAGCCCTCGCTGGTCACAGAGTTGAAACAGAAAGCTCTTCTTCCCGCTGCGAATGTTTGTCCTGCCTCTGCCTAACCCCTCCATCTTGCTTGCAGGCGCTAATGACAGATGAAACAATATCCAACGTGCCAATCCTTATCTTGGGTAACAAAATCGACAGACCAGAGGCCATCAGCGAGGAGAAGCTGCGGGAGATCTTCGGGCTTTACGGACAGACCACGGGAAAGGTAGGGCGGCATCCAAATTTGGGATCGCCTGCGAGCGAGGGAGGGCTTGCATGTTTCGTTGCGGATGAGGCTCCGTCTAGAAACCGATGGAGGTGTTACTGTGAATTTGTCCACAATATTGACCAAGCTGAATTTTTAAGAAGAGTAATAAGGCCCTCGGGCAAGTTTTGAAACTGTCAGAATCGTGCGTAACGCAGTGCCTGTGCAGCGATGGGGGAATTAGGTGTTGAGCTGGGATTTGAACACGTCGTCCGGCTCCTCTGGTTGCGTTACTCTGCGTTTCCACCCAGTTACCCATCTCGTCACTTTTTCGGTGTTTGGAAGCAGTTCAGTTAGAGAGCACCACTGGGCAGCGCTGGGGGATGGCAGTGACAGACCGCAGGGCTGCGCTTGGCGCTGGCTCACCTGCGTGCCCCTGGTGTCACTCAGTCCTCAGACTGCGCCTGGCGTGCCGCGGCGCTCCCAGCGCCTGCTCTCCCGCGCTGCTGGCTCCAGAAGTCCCACGGGCAGGTCCCTCTGGCGAAGGGGCGGCGCGCGGCCAGGAGAGGGGAGATGCCCTGGGCGCAGAGGGGTTTTGCCTCGGTGGCGGAGGCTCAGTCACCGCTTCTTGGCGGGCAGCGGGGGTGCGGTTCTGACCCCGCTTTGGATTTCCCTAGGGAAACGTGCCACTGAAGGACCTGAACGCGCGGCCCATGGAGGTGTTCATGTGCAGCGTGCTCAAGAGGCAAGGCTACGGCGAAGGCTTCCGCTGGCTATCGCAGTACATTGACTGACGCGTGGGCGGACGTGAAGAGTTTTACTCCTCTGGACTGATCCTGTTCACAGCTTCCTGTGGACTTTTCTATTAGAACACAGAAGGCTTTCCAACCGCGTACTGGCATCAACCAAGAGACTCCTGGTTTTCGGCTGCCCTATCGCACAGTGGTGACACAACTCTTTTCCACGTGACGGGGAGACAGCACCGTTCCGCACGTGGGTGCGCGTTGTCGCTTTCAGTTCGGTTACAGCGGGGCTGGTGTGGTCTGGGGAGCAAAACTCTGTGCACCGCACTGCAACAGCTGAGAAAGAGGGCGCGTCTCACCACTGTGGCTAATTGACTTAAAAAAGAAAAAAGCGATTATATTTTTTAAAGAAAGTGTTAATGTAAACAGCGTCCCTTCTAACTTTTTAGTTTAACGTTCACCTTGTTTAGTCCAGAGTCCGGTTAGGGTTTTTTAAAAATATATTTAATGATATTTAGATATTTTGCAAGTTACTGAACCAAGGTATCACGATATTAGAAGTCCTCAATAAACATAGCATTTGGGCCGAACTGCGCCGCAGCATGGCTGTGCTGTGTCACGCTGACCGATGACGGAGAGGGGGCCGTGGGGCCTGACGCGTGCAGTCCGAGCTGCTTCAGCGGCCGGGGAGTGTTTGTGGCTGGCGAGGAGCACGCCTGTTCCGGGTGCTGGGACGCAGTGGCCGGCGCTCACTG